AGTTGAATCTTCCTCCTTGCTCCTAGCGTGTTCTTTCCTCTAAGGGTGTTGTCTAACCCTAAAGTAGTGTCTCTTCCTTCAAAGTGGTGTTTTAGGATGTATTTATATGACCTAGGATTGATGAGGGGCGGAATTCTTCAATCCAACTTCGGATGGGAGAGCTGGAATCCGCGTCTGCCTTCGCGTCTAGACGCCGTCTTTGACGCGGATCCAGCTTTTGAAATTCTTCCATTTCGCGAAGCGCTCCGTGCCTTTGCTTCGCTTCGCTGTTTTGTGCCTTAACTTTTCTCCTTTTTCGCGTCCGATTTCATGCCACGCACCAGAATAGACGAGCTCCCACTCCTTTAATTTCTTCTTTTTGTGTCGAATTGTCATCTTTTGATCATTTATCATCCAAACTCGTTCCTACACATAAGAAACACATAATGAGTATATTTCACTTTGAAAATCATGTAATCTCCCGCAACACACACAAGAATTAATATGCAAATATACTCAAAAATATGCACTTTTCATCATTTATCAACACCCCACACTTAAACTCTTGCTCGTCCTCGAGCAATCAAACTACACTTTTTTTTATAGACATGACCTTTTTAAACAATTCTCCTAACTCATCACATCAAGAGTATTTAAAATAGACTAAGTACAAAAGCATAACATCTTCACCTCAAGATTTGACTCATAAGTACCACGTATTATTCACAACTCACCCACTTACTCTAACATAGAGGTCACTGACATTACCTTTCCTTCATGAATCGAGTGCCCTCACACAACAAAAGAGAGTATTTCCACACACAATAAAGTTTAAGAACAATTAGGAACTCAAGATAGAAAGAATTCACTCACTCTCAAAAATAACATTCATATGCTACAAAAGATGCACCATAGGCTTGCCTGTAGTGTAATACTCTACTAATCGAGCTCATTGAGTCTAGGATCAAGTAGGACTTTATTTGGTTGTAATGTAGGCTGCGGGACGGGTAGGATACATTTAGATATAAGAGTGACTGCACCTCCCTAAGCACTTTAGTACATATACTTTAACATTCAAGCCCCATACTTATGTCAAACCAAACTCCACCTTCACCTCAATGTATATTACCCCATACTTCTTTAAGCACAATTACATCAAGAGTCACCACTTATCAAAGAAATACTTTTTTTTTTCACAACAATATAACTATATATTTTTTTTCAATTCAAGTGGCTCTTACTTGTTCAAAACAGTGCACCTTTCTCCTGATTTCATTAGTTCTATTCAAAAGCCAAACCAACCACCCCACACTTTAACTTTTACATAAATCATCACAATTCAAGTGCTTATGAGAGGTTAAAAGGTTCAAATAGATAGTCCATTCAAACAAATGGGTAAGGCTTGTAATGTGGTTGCCAAAGAAACATGATTACATGCTCAAAGGAGTTAACTACAATACATAACAATTAGGCGGGTAAAATATACATATCTGGCTCAACAAAGAAATGCCTATATCACTTCCTAGACTGAATAAAACTACTATTTCGCTTTGCAAACACACGGGGCAAGTTCTAGGCATCAAATGCAATGCACAGAATATGACAAATCCTTACACACACATGGCATATAACTCACTCAGGATTGGATTCATCAAGACACTCTAGTCAAAAAAGTTAAGCAAAGTTAAAATCATACAATTTAAGGTACTTCTACAAGAGTCAAAAACTGAGCCTAAGCGTCACAACCAAAGTACTCACTGTTCTCAAGGCATAACCAAGTCAAGAGATATTGCTACAATTCAAAGCACAACACAATGACTCTTATTCCTTAAAAAAACTAACTACACCCGGTTTAAATAAAACCCTTAGAAAAGAACTGTGGTTTAAAGAAAAATAAGGGGTAATTGCTACACTACCTAACACAAAACAAAAAATCTTTTTGATATTTTCTTTAGACTTACTTCCCTCAAGAAAACTGTCTAGAAGATCTGTCATCAGGAAAAGTCCAATCTTTAAAAAAAATTATTTAATTAAACGAACACAGCTAAAGTAGCATGAAAAGTCACCCAGATAATCTCCTCACCCCACACTAAAAATTGTGCATTGTCCCCAATGCACACCCATACATACCTAAGGGTAAAAGAAACTCCCTGGTAGGCCAAAGGCCGAAGCACTAGCAGTTCATGGGGTACTCAGACTTCTCCCAAGCTTGGTCCTTCGTGTGGGTACCTCACACTTAGTTCCAACCATTTGGTTTGCTGATGCATCCTTCCAATACCTTTGCTTTCCATGCTCCTAGAAAATAAAAAAATCGACACTACAAGAATAATATAATTAAAAAAATAAATAAATAAAAGAAAGCAATAAAGCTGGGTTGCCTCCCAACAAGCGCTTGATTTAACGTCGCGGCACGACGCGAATCACTTTTTTTTGCCTCCACCTCGAGCTTATGAATTGAACCCCCAATTTTGATTCAAGCTTATGATTATGGTCATGGGGCGGTGGAACGCATCTAACTGGCCCAAGGAAATAATGTAGTATTCTGCATTCCTTGGTCTTTGTATGAGGTATGTAATCCTGACTTTCTGGCAAGAAGAATTCCAGAATATATGCACCTTGTTCCTCATTCCTTGACACTTCGATTGGTTCAGATGACTCTATTTCCATATCATCATCCAAACATAATGTGGAAAAATTCTTGGAGTGTGGACCAATGCGCTCAAACACATGAACTTCGGGCCTTTCAACATCCTCAACATCAATGATACTAGAGTCAACAAAATTTATATCCTCAAAGTCCTTGGTTGGCTTTAGTCTCACTTCTTCAACATTGACATCCTCAAATTGTAGTTGGCTAGGTTGTTGATGTTCTACTCTGACCTCCCCAATTAACACCTCAAATTCATGCTCTTCTTGGCTGCTATCCTCAATATTGGCTTGTTGAGCATTAAAAGCTCCAACCACTTGACTCAATTGAGCCTCCAACTTGCGAATAGTTGCCTCTTGCCTTTCCATGTGCAATTGTTTCTCATTGTTTTGTTCCAGAAGATACTTTAGCATATCCTTGATCTCCTTCAAGTCTGCATTCCCAGGTTCTTTGTTCCTATTAACTTCACAAGAAAAGGTAGAACCATCATAGTCGGGGGCTGGGGGAAAATAAGAAATATAAGCCCAACCATGAAGGTGACCATTTTTACCACCACACACATCACACACATTCCACAAATAAGATTGAGTTGACGCACATAACTCGCTCTTAGGAACGTTTTGAAAATTTCGCCACTGGTGGTTTCCTTCACAATATGTATGGAGATCAATAGTAGAATTATCTACACCTAAATTCCCATAATTTCAAGATGCCATGTTTCTCAGATCGATAGTTATTAAAAAAAATACAAAAAAAAAAACAAAAAAAAAGTTCAAACTCTTAACCTAGCAATATATACAGCTACAACTACACTGTTAGTTCCCCGGCAACGGCGCCAAAATTTGATCACGCCCAACTCTAGTCCTAAAAAGGATAAGCGGTCGCTGCAAATATAATCCGGTCTAAAAGTCCAGAGTCGAATCCCACAGAGAACTAAGGTTTCGCTGTAATTGTTCAATATCGCAAAGAAGACAAGTTTGAACAATTTTCTAAATTATAATATTAAGATTTTTATAACTAACTAATTAACCAACAAATACTATAAAATGGTAAAATTATCAACTAACGAGACAAAGGTTTGGAGACTAATTTAAGGAGGTCTAGAGTTATGATTTCCCCAATTGTTGATTTTATTAATTGTATGTTTCTTATAGCTTTGACTTAGTTGCCTCTATCAATCATGAACTCTCCAGCTATCATAAATCTCTCTCAAACAATTATGATAATTTACTAGACGCACTCTCTCAAGCTACGCTAGCTAGATTCACATTACAGTTCACTTAGATCGCACCCGAGGTATCGTTATCTCTAATCCAACCTCTAAACCCTCGGTTATGACTCTCGCCTATACTCCGGGAGTGATGTTTTTCAAACAACTACCTAAATATGCACTCTCTCTCAAGCAGATACATAATAAATAGGAACGGCTAATTGAGGATTCTTTCAATTAACCAAAATCAAAACGTAGTAGAACAAATGAAGATTAACAACTAACTCAAAACTATATTAGTATAACAACCAATTCATCCCCTAAAGGTTCCATCAAAACTCTAGATAATAAATTAACTATTCATAAAAGTATGTGAAAACACAATACTCCAATTCATAACCAACAATAAAATAGGAAGAAGAAGGGGAAAAACTCGTAGTTGAATCTTCCTCCTTGCTCCTAGCGTGTTCTTACCTCTAAGGGTGTTGTCTAACCCTAAAGTAGTGTCTCCTCCTTCAAAATGGTGTTTTAGGATGTATTTATATGACCTAGGGTTGATGAGGGGCAGAATTTTTCAATCCAACTTCGAATGGGAGAGCTGGAATCCGCGTCTGCCTTCGCGTCTAGACGCGGACTTTGACGCGGATCCAGCTTTTGAAATTCTTCCATTTCGCGAAGCGCTCCGTGCCTTTGCTTCGCTTCGCTGTTTTCTGCCTTAACTTTTCTCATTTTTCGCGTCCGACTTCGTGGCACGCACGAGAATAGACGAGCTCCCACTCCTTTAATTTCTTCTTTTTGTGTCGAATTGTCATCTTTTGATCATTTATCATCCAAACTCGTTCCTACACATACGAAACACATAATGAGTATATTTCACTTTGAAAATCATATAATCTCCCGCGACACACACAAGAATTAATATGCAAATATACTAAAAAATATGCATTTTTCATCATTTATCAATAAAAAATTTTAATTTTTACAAATTAGATTGATTTAGGATTTTATTAGATTTTAAAACCAAAGGAAAAAAAAGATTTTTTATTTAGTCTTCCTACCCCAAAGTTAATTAGCTCAAATTCATGACCTAAATCTCTTCAAGCCCCAAAACGTTGAGCCCATACTTATTTCCTATTTGACCTAACCTAATTCCTACCCCAATAAAATAATACCTAATTTCTAAAAACCTAGATCTATCCGCCGTTACACCAAAAGAAACCCCCCGACTTCTGTCTTCTTCACCTAACGCCTAAGGAAAATGAGAGCTAACCAAAATTCCTAAAAGCTAAGGAACAGCAGTAGCAGCTAAGATGGACGATTCACGCATCCTCCTTTACTTGTTGCCACCGCTATAACTCCCTCCACCTTAGTCTCCTACTCTCTCACGTTCTCACCATGGAAAGCAGTCATCAAAACACTACAAAGTCTCCATTAAACACCCCAAAACATCACCCAAAAATCAGCCATGTAAACCCCAAAAACCCAGCTGAAAACCAGCCCCTTAAACCACCAAAAACCCACACAAAAGTGCAGTAATAAAACAGATGAGAACAGCTTAAAAAACAACCTCAAATCTGTCCCTGAACCAGTAACACCTCCGAAAGCCAGGCAAAACCAGCCCCAAACCCAGCTGAAAACTCACTCCAAAATACCCCCAAAATCCAGCTTCATCTCCACCAAAAGGAGTTCGAAGAGGTCGATTCCAAAGTCTATTGTATCGTCGAGGTTCGAGTTTGTCGCCGTCGAGATTCGGAGCCACTGTTTCAGTTCGTGTTGTTGGAATTCGTTCGTTGCTTCCTTCTTTTTCGAGCTTCTATTGTTGCCTTTAAGTGTATCGATTTTCAAACAATGAACTAATTGAAAGCTCATTTCAGGTTTATCTCCTCTTTATTTCCGATATGGAATATTAGGATTGAAGTTTCAAGAGAGCCATTAAAAGATGGATTAATTTAATATTTATCACGGGGATTTACAAATTACATCATAGCTAGCTTACCTTACCTGATTTGATTGATTGTTTCTTCTTCAATATTTTTCTGTTTGGAATCTGTTAATGTTTCATTGAACGCAAAGCTGGTTGGATTCCTACTGTTGTAGCACTGTTGTGAGGGATCTTCATTGTTTAAGGTGCTTCGTTAAAATGTGATAACACTTTGCTTGATTAGTTCATATAGTTTCAGTAGAAAATGTGTGTTTTAAAGGTATCTCATTAGGTTCATTGAGGTCTTTTCAGCATATTAAGTTTAATATTCCCTTGAAAGTTGGTGAATCACTGTTTGAAGTTGGAAGGTTTTTAGTTGTTGAGGCAGTAGGCTATTGGATTTCATTTTTGTTTAAGTTGAGGATTCTTAGTTGGGATCTTTCATCATGCTCTTTAAAGGTTATTAAAAAATAAATGAAAAGGTGAATTTCCATGGATTATTCTTTAGCTTTATCTTTATTTGGTTGATTATGTTTATTAGTCTTCTGCTACATCAGTGTAATAATTTTATGGTCATGTCCCATGTCAAGTCATTGTTACATGCATTAAAAAAGAAAATTAATGGCTGATTCTAATTCCTAATAAAATAGTTGACTTTACTCTTTGGCTTAGGACATTAATATAATATATTTGTGAAAGGTGTTGGTGCTCTTTTGCTAATTGTAAATGTCGGTATATTATAAATGATAGTATATACGACGCAATGCATATTATCATTAGGTTGGGCCACGATAAGAAATTATTGGTTAGAGTTCAAGCTTATACCCCATTTCAAGAAAATTGCGTATTTGCTGTTGCAATGATAACGTGTAAGATGAATACATATTTTTGAGTGAAATAATGTGGTAATATTTTTAAGTTAGTGGATTATATTTTATCATTGCTTGATTCAATACAGGATCTTGCTGCACATTGGATTGTTAATAGGTAGTTAGGTACTAAGTGTTTTAAGTTGTGCCAAAACAAGTATTGGTGAGCTAGACTTGTTGAAAAAGCTGATTTGGATTTTTTATGACGAACTTATATTGACACTTTATAAGAAAAATAGTTCAGCAAAATAGTGTTTTTCACTTACAGTTGTACATTCCGAGTTATGACCATGTTGGCACATGATAGTTACAAAAGGAATGAATGAGTTACAGAGTGGTTCGCTCGGGCAACTACGGTACCGGGTGCCAGCCACGCCTCCCCAGGTTCGGGGCGTGACACTACTATCCTAAATTGCAAAGCTAACATTGAAATTAGGAACGATGTAAAATGCGGCCTAGTGCCAAGAATGATGTGATAAGTTGTGGCCCCAAGTGCCTATGAAATGACATATGTGATTAATGAGAAGGGAGCAACGCCTTGGCAAGGCGTCCTAGCCGATCAGGTCATGATCGGACTCCGCTCAAGATAGCGGTGGTGTTGTGAATGCATTCCGGAAAAAGGGAAAATGAGATTGTGATTGAGGTATATGTCTCAAATGTGGCGACCTAACCGATCGGGTCGAGATCGGACTCCACTCATGATAGCGGTGGTGTTATGAACAATGTTGAACAATATGAAGTGCCCTAAACTAAAGGCTATGGAAAATGATGTGAAAATTGCATGATTCTTTTATTTGATAATGTTGTGATCATTTAAAGTGTTTAGGTTGTACTTGTGATTTTCTTTAATATTGTATGAAGGTTCTTTCTAATTAGATGGCGTTTAGTTATACATATTAGTACTATTCCATGGTACTAACGTCCCTTTTGCCGGGGCGCTACATTTTTAAATGAATGTAGGTGGCTCCATTGCAGATAGTGTCGATAGCGCGTAGTGGAGGACCTTCTTCTCAAAGTCTTGGTGAGCCCCTTTCTCTTTCAAGGCGGTTGTATTGCATCTTTTGTTGTTGTGGACTTCTATTTTTGAGGTATAGCCGGGGCCTTGTCGCTGACACTGTCTTACTTGTCTTTTACATCCTTAGAGGCTCCGTAGACACATATGTGATTTATGTACGGGTATTTGAGGCGTCTATGAACTATGTTGGAATTCTAACTCTTACTTCTCTAATGTATAATTGTATGGAATCTTGGAACCTATCTACGGTTTAATGTTGTGATTTAAATGAATTAGCAATGTAGAACGTATTATCTTTCCTCGTCTAAATAAATGAATGAAAGTATGGTTTCCTTCTTCGTGTTGAGTTGGGTAGGAAGTTCCTACACGTGTGGAGGGTACCACTATCCCTCCTGTTGATACTTCTGTTCTGCCTCCAGCCCCAGCTTCCGGTTCTGGTATTTCCGATGGGGATCTTAGGGGAGCTATTCAGATGTTGACCCAACTACTGGCCTCCCAGGCTCAGATGTCAAATGTTTTGCCCAGTTCGTCTAACCAGCAAGGGGATTCTACTAGTTCCAGGGTGAACATATTTCTTCAGTTAGACCCTCCGGTGTTTAAAGGTGCCAATCCAGAAGAAGACCCTCAGGATTTTATTGATGAGATGCACAAGACCGTCAGGATGATGCGTGCAACTGAGACAGAGGGAGTAGAGGTGGCTGCCTACCGCCTGAAAGGGGTGGTCTATTCGTGGTTTGAGTTGTGGAAGGATTCCCGAGAGGAGGGGCGCCCTCCGGCGAGGTGGAGCGAGTTCGCTGACGCCTTTATTGATCATTTCCTGCCCACTAAAACAAAGGCAGCCCGTGCAGCAGAGTTTGAAAATTTGAAGCAAGGCAACAGAAGTTTGTGGGAGTACCACATGGAGTTTGCTCGCTTGTCCAAGTATGCCATTCATATGTTGCCCAAAATGGAGGCCAGGGTGCGTCGGTTTGATCAGGGCCTTAAATTCTTTGACCATTAATGAGGCTTCTACGGCTGCATTCAATTCTGATATGAATTATGGGAAGATGGTAGCATTTGCTCAGGCCACAGAAAACCGTAAATTGAAGAACAAAATGGAGAGAGAGGGTAACAGCAAGGCCCGGTCTACCGGCAACATGGGAGAGTCACTAGGTGGGGGAAGATCAGCTTTCAGGGGAAGATCATCAGGGCCTTCCCAGTCTGTTGCACAGTCTTCAGCCAGTGCACCGCTGTCAGGGCCCAGCCTGCAGTAGTGGAGTCATTTCAGGCCCAGTCAGGGCAACATGGTATCCCATCAGTGGTGCCGGTCAGGAGAGAGGTTCCAGCAGCAGTAGAGGTCCCCGTGCCCCAGGTGCGGGAAGATGCACTCAGGGATTTGCTATATGGAGCTACCTATATGCTATGGATGTGGGATGAGGGGTCATATTCAGAGACATTGTTGTGTATCCCGCCAGGGAGCGGGTAGGGGCACAACTCAGTCATCCAGTCCAGTAACTGCTACATCTTCAGCCCCCTCCCCAGCTCGAGGTACCCCAGCATCCGCAGGGCCTGGTGCAGCGAGGGGTCGTGCGCAGAGTTCAGGAGGACCCAACTTGTTCTATGCTATGAGTGGTCGCTAGACTGCAGAGGCTTCTCCAGATGTTGTTACAGGTATTCTGACTGTCCAATCTCATGATGTGTATGCACTTATTGACCCCAGTTCCACCTTGTCCTATGTTACCCCTTTTGTTGCTATGGGATTCGGGATAGAGCTGGATCAGCTTCATGAACCCTTTTTGTTGTCTACCCCAGTTGGTGAGTCTATTACGGCTGCTCGGGTTTATAGGGGATGTGTTGTTATGGTACGGGGTAGGGATACCACAGCCGATCCTATTGAGTTAGGGATGGTCGACTTTGATGTATTAATGGGAATGGATTGGCTTTATCCGTCCTTTTCCAAACTTGATTATCGGACTAGAACTATGAGGCTTGAATTTCCTAATGAGCCTGTTATTGAATAGAAGGGAGACAATGTAGTGCCTAAAGGTTGATTTATTTCCTACCTTAAGGCCGCGAAGATGATCAAGAAAGGGTGTATCTATCATCTAGTTCGGGTTACAGACACAAATTCCGAGGCACTTAGCCTTGAGTCTGTACCAGTTGTAAATGAATTCCCAGATGTCTTTCCAGATGATCTCCCTAGGATTCCACTAGGCAGGGAGATTGAGTTTGGGATCGATGTGATGCTAGGCACGCAGCCTATATCAATTCCACATTACAGAATGGCACCAGCAGAACTGAAAGAGCTAAAAGAACAATTGAAGGATTTGCTAGAAAATGGTTTCATCCGGCCGAGTGTGTCACCGTGGGGCGTGCCAGTCTTGTTTGTTAGAAAGAAAGATGGATCACTGCGGATGTGTATTGACTACCGGCAACTCAACAAAGTCACAGTCAAGAACAAATACCCTCTACCAAGAATAGATGACTTGTTTGATAAATTACAAGGTGCTACGTGTTTTTCAAAGATTGACTTGCGGTCCGGGTATCATCAATTGAAGATAAGGGTGCAGGATATTCCAAAAACATCTTTCATAACTCGGTATGGGCACTTCGAATTTATGGTGATGTCTTTTGGGCTAACAAATGCCCCGGCAGCTTTCATGGATCTTATGAATCGAGTCTTCGAGCCCTTTCTAGACTCCTTACTGATAGTGTTCATTGACGATATTCTTGTGTATTCCCGAAGTCGGGAGGACCATGCAGACCATCTCAGGGCAGCTCTGCAGACTCTTCAGCAACATCAGTTGTATGCAAAATTTTCAAAATGTGAATTTTGGCTTGAATCCGTCGCGTTCTTGGGTCATGTCATTTTCGGGGAGGGAATCATGGTTGATCCTCAAAAGATTGCAGCAGTGAAGAATTGGCCTAGACCTACCACTCCAACGGAGATCCGTAGTTTCTTGGGTTTGTCTGGGTACTACAGGAGGTTTGTGGAGGGGTTTTCTACTCTTGCCTCTCCATTGACTAAATTGACGCAGAAAGCAATTAAATTCCAATGGTCCGATGCTTGTGAAAAGAGTTTCCAAGAATTGAAATCAAGGTTGACAATAGCACCGGTATTAGCCCTGCCAGAGGGTACAGAGGGGTTTGTGGTGTATTGCGATGCTTTAAGGATCGGGCTCGGGTGTGTGTTGATGCAACACGGCAAGGTTATAGCCTACGCTTCTAGGCAACTCAAGAATCATGAGAAGAACTATCCGACCCATGACCTAGAGCTGGCAGCAGTTGTGTTTGTGCGAAAGTTTTGGCGACACGTATGGGGTCCATGTGGATGTATTTACGGATCAAAAGAGCCCTCAATGTATTTACAAGCAGAAAGAGTTGAATCTGAGGCAAAGAAGATGGCTAGAGTTACTCAATGACTATGACATTGATATTCTCTATCACCCGGGAAAGGCTAGTGTCGTGGCAGATGCACTTAGTCGAAAATCTATGGGAAGTTTGGCTCATTTGGAGGCATATCAGAGACCGTTAGCCAGGGAGGTTCACCAGTTGGCCAGTTTAGGAGTTCGCCTTGCGGACTCTAATGAAGGGGGGGGGGGGGGGTAATTGTACAGAATATGGCCGAATCATCGCTTGTGGCAGAGGTGAAGGAAAAGCGATTCAACGATCCGTTGTTGGCACAATTGAAAGAGGGGATTCAAAAACGCAAAACCACAGCTTTTTCCTTTGGCATGAATGATGGTATCCTACGGTACCAAGACCGCCTATGTGTTCCTGATATCGACGGTCTTCGAGAAAGGATCATGGCAGAAGCTCACACTTCCAGCTATTCCATGCACCCAGGTTCTACAAAAATGTATCATGATCTCAAGGAAATTTATTGGTGGAACAACATGAAGAAAGATGTGGCGTACTTTGTGGCAGAATGTCCGAATTGTCAGCAAGTAAAGGCCGAACATCAAAGGCCCGGTGGATTGGCTCAAAGAATAGAAATTCTAATGTGGAAATGGGAGATGATCAACATGGATTTTGTGGTAGGGTTTCCGCGCACCACGCGCAAGTTCGACTCGATTTGGGTGATTGTGGATCGACTCACGAAATCAGCGCACTTCTTGCCAGTTAAATCTACCGACACAGCGGAACAATATGCTCAGTTGTGTATCAAATAAATAGTCATGTTGCATGGCACTCCAATCTCAATCATTTCAGATCGAGGGGCTCAGTTAACAGCCATCTTTTGGAAGAAGTTTCAGCAAGGTTTGGGTACGCAGGTAAATCTTAGCACAACTTTTCATCCACAAACCGATGGGCAAGCAGAGCGGACTATTCAGACACTTGAGGACATGTTGTGTGCTTGTACTCTTGATTTTGAAGGGTAGTTGGGATGACCACTTGCCACTCATAGCATTTGCTTACAACAACAGCTTCCATGCTAGTATCCAGATAGCACCATTCGAAGCATTGTATGGTAGGAGATGTAGGTCTTCCATTGGGTGGTTCGAGGTTGGAGAAGCGGAATTGGTCGGGCGGGACCTCGTGCATCAGGTCATGGAGAAAGTCATGATTATTAAGGAGAGGTTGAAAACTGCTCAGAGTCGCCAAAAGTCTTACTCGGTTGTTCATCACAGAGATTTAGAGTTCAAAGAAGATGATTGGGTATTTTTGAAGGTTTTCCCTATGAAAGGTATCATGCGGTTTGGAAAGGAGGGAAAATTGAGTCCGAGATATGTCGGACCATACAAAATCATTCTGAGGATTGGGCAGGTGGCATACAAGCTTGAGCTGCCACCCGAAATGTCATTGGTACACCCGGTCTTTCATGTGTCCATGTTGGGAAAGGTAGTGGGAGACCCGTCCACGATTGTGCCAGTTGAGACTATTGAGGCTAATGAAGAGTTGTCGTATGAAGAAGTTCCAGTTTCCATTCTTGATAGGCAATTTCGAAAATTGAGAAATAAGGAAATTTCATCCGTGAAAGTGTTATGGCGGAACCAGCAAGTCGAGGAAGCCACGTGGGAAGCCGAGAATGAGATGAAAAAGAAGTACCCACACTTGTTTGAATAGTCATGTAATAGCTTTTATGTATTTAGCCCCTATGAACTATCATCTTCTGACTTGATCTATGTAGAACTGTCCCCTTTTTGGTAATATGTTGCCTGTATGGCCATGGTTGGTGTTGTGCAAATTATATTATGTTTATGGAATATGTTTATGTTGTTAAGATGTGTTTCTGGGGCTCTCTTACAGGTGGATAGGCCTAAATACAAAGGAAACTCTGGCAAAATT